GAAAGTCCAGGCCAGAAGAACTACAGTGCACCTACAGATCAGCCATCTAGCATGAAAGAAAGGACATGACTGAAGCATGAGTGGGGAGACAAGTTACAAGAACACACAGGTCTCACACCAACGTGAAGGTGTCCTCTTTTTGAGGAGGCTCCTTGTTCACACAAGGAAGGTACCTGCATGTTTATTGCAATGGAAAAGATGCCAGAGCACTAACCTGATGGAGTGTGGCTCCCAGGGTTTGACTGCGCAGTGAATGGTTAACTCTGGTCAAACATCTTCAGAGATTAAGTAAGCCAAAACAGACCTCAGAAAGTCACTCAAGTCCAACCTCTTGCCTGAAGCAGCACCAAACTCAGACCAGGTTGCTCAAGACTGTTGTCCAATTGAGCTGTGAAAATCTCTAGGGATAAAAAGGCACAGGCCTCTGCTCCAATAATTCACTCTCTTCATGGGGAAGCACTTCTTATGTACAGTCAGAATTTGCCCTAGTTGAAATTATGACTGTTGCTTCATTTTCCTGCCATGTGCCTTCATAAAGGGTCTTGTTCTCTCTTCTTGACGACCTCCTGACTTCAGACCAAACAAGTCCTACTCACTCAGCCTCTCTTCATGGGTCAAGTGCTTCAGATCTTGAACATCCCAGTGGCCTCTGTTGAACTCGCTGCAATTACTGATGTCTTTCTCATCCTAGAAGTCCAAACCTGGATGCAGCATCCATGTCCCACCTAACATACACTGCACAGATGGGAATAATCGCTCCCATCAAGCTGCTGGCTGTACTGGGGTCTGCACTGTCCAGGATGCTGTTGGCCTTCTTGGCTTCTAGGACACACCATGCCTAAGATTCTCCACTGGGACCCAGATGTGGACAACAATACGCATGAAATGCACTAAAAACTGGCCAAAACAACATAGCCTTGCCACTTGTGCCCCAAATTCAGGATGCATGCACTATCCACTGCCTGACATCAGGCAACGCAGCACACACACATACCCCATGCAACTCGGGCAAAAATAATAATCATGCAGAAAGACATAAGTACAAGAACACTAAACCTTCTTGGGGAAGAGAAGCCTAAAAGTCAACATGGGAGCAGAAGAGATGTGCACTAGATACTGACTACTTGGGTTTTGACACATGGGACGGTCTCAAAAAGGATATTCAGACACATGGGAGGGTCTCAAAAAGGACACTCACTGCAGAGCACGGTGTGGCACCAGCCACCCCCCCGAGCCCCGGCAGGGCACTGCTGCTCACTGCAATCTGCGGCACGCAGCACGTCCAGCTCCTGCTTTTAAACACCTTCCTCCCCTCGGGCACGTCTCCAAGTGGCGCAGACAGCCACGGCCGCGCTGCAGACCTCCAGCGAACAGAGACGGTTCCGAGGGTCTCACTCTCCCGATGAAGGCTCCCTGCATCACGGAGCAGACCACAGCAGCTACGGAGTCCCACGATGAGATGTTGCCTCCCACTGCAGACACGCAATTCACACCAACAGCAGCCAGAGCACAGAAGTGCCCTACGTGCTCTGCTTCAGAACTGCTTCTGTTTCTCATATTTTTTCTTTCCTGGCTGCAGGGAAATTTGTCTCTCCGCCAAGTCCTCTTAGAGAGCAAGAGGGTGGCAGAGGCAGGAAAGGCAGATTTGGCATCACACTTCCAAGACTGTTCCTCTCAGGGAGGATGCAGACATCGGATAACTTTCAGGGAGACTTGACATATCATTTAATTTCCTCTTTCTTCCCCCAAACCTGAACACTGCACAGAAAAAGATTTAAAAAAGAAAAATCAGGCAAAGGCTGGTGGGTATAATGTCTCATTTCAGAAAGTGAAAGGCAAGGACAGCTCTTTGGTACATTCAGAGCTCTCAGTCTCTCCCAATTATTCCTGATTTAAATTGTACCGAGACACACTCCCCGAGCCATAAAACACAACCCTCAGGAGGTGGAATAGCAGCCCCTTTCTGACAAGCATCTGGAAGGTAGAAGGGGTTGTGTCAAATTCTGGGCCCTTGAACTGTGCAAGCTGGAATAAATATGTTCAAAAGGATAGTTCTCGGAATGGAAAATCGTGGGAAATTATAGAAAAAATACTGCTTGGATCTAAACTCACGAAGCTTAGGAGGCTTTCATCAGTACGAGTCTGAGTGCTGTGAGATCCTGGGAAAAGTCACCCACCTGGCAAGAACAGCTTTTTTCATTAAATACAGTTTGGAAAGGAGAAAACTATCATCTCCAAGGTCATGTAAGGGACTCCTAATTAATGTTGATGGAGAATTTAAAGGAGTAGTGTCTCCCAGCCAAGGCCCATGATTCAGTCTCACTTCGAACAACTGCAAACTTGTGGAACCTCCTTTCAAAATTTTCCACTCTACCTTTCCGCAGCATCTGCAGACATGGAGATGTGTCCTTTGTGATCAACCTGTCTACAGCATTATGGCTTGGCCAAGTCCCTTCTTACGGTCCCTGGCATCCATTCACGGAGTTGCCTTCTTGGGAAAGGAAATGGAAGAAGGGTCTCCAAGAAGACCCACAGTGTTTCTTCTCCTTTAGGCCCTTGGACCAAGCACATAGAGGTCCACAGAGGGACTGGTGTGTGGCCTTGCAAAGAGTGGCACTGCTGAAGGGCTAGAGCCTCCAGCGCAACTCAGGCCTACCTGCACCCCATCACAATTAGGGAGACAGGGATCCTGCAGAGCAAAAACCAAGGGAAGCAGCTCCATAAGCAGGGGAGGCATCAACCAGCTGAAGGGAAGCCTGAAGGAGACCACTAATAGGGAGAAAGCAAAAGGCATTGGCATTCAGCTTCAGTGCATCAGAAGTGGGTATGAATCCGAGACCTAAATGTCGGGATGGAAGTCAAAAATTTGGGTCTCTGCTGGCACATCACCCATGGGCAAACCAGAAACTGAAAGAGAGGAGGAAAACCAGCCCATCAGGCCACACAGGTTTACCTCTGCAGGAGAAAGACTCCCCAAAAGACAAAATCCGTCCTTCAGCAGCAGGAGGTGGGTAGGAGAGGAGGCAAACTCTTTATCCTAGAGCAACATGATGTAGAGGAAGGGCAGAAACCTTCTTCCCTCCAGTAACTCAAAGCCAGGGCACAGCCATTCTCATCCTGTAGGAGATTGCAACACACTGGATGACTTGTAATCCAGGAACACCTGCCTTCTACCAAATACAAACTGAACTCACAGTTGAGACATTGCTATTAAGATCTGTGCTTAATGGATCTCCCTGTCCTTTTGTCTCCACTTGACCCATCTGTAAAATGGCAGCGACTGTCCTGGATCAGTCCTTGGTCCTCCCAAAGGCTTCTGAAACGCTTCAGAATCACAGGAATGTCAAGATTTTGACCTGTATTTTCAAGAAAGCAGCAAAACAAATGAGGACATGTGATCTGGTTCAAAAGGACAAGCACGAAGACGGAAGAGATCAACACTAGAGTGGGATATCTGCTCAGGAACAAATAGCACTAAAGGATCTATTAGTTGCTTTCATAAAAGCTTTATTAGCAAATATCCGCTCACCAAGACAAGAGGCTCTGAAGTAGTGTCAAATAGGAAAGAAGGGACAAAAAACACCCCAGACTTATAACAGGGTTGGACTATTTCACTTCACTTACCAGGACCTGGGCTCCGTGACTGCAGGTTTATTTCAGTTCCTATTTGCAAGGTGGCCAGGTGCAAAGTGAGACCAATCGGTTCTTTAGCCTACAGTCTTACCTTGGTTTAACCCAGGCTTTGTCTGGGACCAGAGCGCAAGCGGCCAAGCTAAGATATTAAACACAGCTGTCCTGGCACATCTATCCCAGGGGGAAGCTGGTGATGCCAAATAATTCCTCAGCCACGCTGTTTCCAAGTCAATGCACCTCCTTTGCAGGTAAATAAACCTTAGAGTGGCCACTCTGAACAAAATTTTAGTTTTTTTGTTTGTTTAAGTGTATTGAGGGAGATAAGGCAATTTTACACAGGTATTTTACATAGAAAATAATAAAAACAGAAGGAAAATATAAGTTTATTATTTTTTTAGTTCTTCCTTTGACCACATTATTCCCAGAAGCCTGGAATAGTTTCAGTCAGTAAATGAACTAGCATGTGACCAGGCGCAGCTACCATAACTTGATCTTTACTCTAGTACAATAATTTTCCACATATATTTAAGGCCCAACATCAGTGAAATTTCCCATATTTAAATCAGCCCTTGGCCCTCTCAGCTGCTTCACAAGCCATCAATTCTGAAGCATTCTCTACAAGATATTAGCCTCTAATTTGAGTGGAGATGCTATCTTCAAACAAAACTGCCCTACCTTTCTTAGGAAGAATCTGTACAGAACAGGCAATACTTGACTTGCATCTCAGTCAAACCAGGGTAGGATTTCACATGGACAACAGAGAAAGCTGTTTCCTAATCTTACATCAACCCCAAGAGGAATCAGAGGTTTATTAAACATAAAGACTTCCAATATTTCCCAAATAAAGCCAGCTCTTGCAGCGAACCTGGGCTGGGGATGGAGGTAGAGTGCACAAGAAGGCTCCAATATCTGCCTCTCTTTAGGGAAAGCAATTTGGATATTGCCACTCTTCAACCTCACAGCAAATATACTACAATATAATTAATCAATCCTGGAGCAAGATTTTTTTTTTAAGTCTTCTTGAAACATTGGACTGGGGAACTAATTATCACATGTCGTGGAAGGCAAGAATATGGGGAGATTCCAAAATGATGCCGGTACAAAAATCAAGACTGAATGGAAACACTAGCAGCTGTAGGGGTTGATTGCTTTTCTGGAGGAACTCTGCAAAGCATCCAAACCTCCCAAACCATCGGCATTATTAGTAACTTGCAAACTAACCCGCAGCAGTGCCCCTGTTACGGGGCTGCTCGCATTGCTGTCCAAGGCATTTCTCAGCCCACCAGTGCAGACAGGAGCGCAGGTTGGCAGCAGAGCCTTGCACCAGCCTGCAGCCATCAGTCCTCTACGATGGGAAAACTCGGAGATCACCGTCCCAGCGGAGCATGCGATGGAGATGGGATGGGGCTCCCAGGCCCTGGCGCTCACATCCCTGGGAATGTTATTAGCCTTGGCTCGTGGACGTCGCATTCAGGACATTCCAAGTCCTCCTACCCACCTCTGCCTTGAGGGACAGCCCCACCCCAGCACCGTCTGTCACTGCTGGGCCAGGCGGCAGCAAAGCGGAGTGAAAATCCAGGCGGGAGGAACCGCCAGAGCCGCCGGCGCCTCCCGAGGCAGAGCGGACACCGCTGACTCAAGAACCCATGAGCAGACACCGACAGCAGCCAAGGCTGGAAGCGCCTCAGCCCTTTCCCAACCCAGCCCGAGGTGCTGAACAACCCAGAGAAACGAGGAAAAAATGGGTTAAAAAAACAGGGATGGAGGAAACAGCTCACCTTACAGCATGAACTACAACAGCCTGGACATGGGGATAGTGGGAAGCTATTTTGTGCTCCCCTCCCTGTGCATCCTTTGCGCCCCAGTACCTTCAACAAGCTGGCTGGCAACTGCTCCCACGATTTGGGGATGCTTAGCCCGTGAGAAACCACCAGTCCCGGGAAGGGAAACAGCAACAAAACCATCCCACGACAGCTCCGGAGGGAGCAGAGAGCCAGGGGGAACAAGCAGCTCTCCCCGTATGCTACGAAGCACATTCAGGCCATGGATTTATCCTGCAATATTCACCTCACCTAACCTCGGTCCTCAGTGCCAGGCATCCAAGCTAAACTCATCATCTGCACTGGACAGTGGGAACGTATATCCAGAGGGCTGTTTATCCCATTGAGGCAGATGTTTAAGTCATTTGAGATGGATGTGCCTTGAGGGATGGGGCTCTTCATGGATGAGTTGGGCAGTTGGTACCACTGACTCATGCCAAAGCACAATGCTACCTCTGCCCTATGAACCATGCCATGCCTACATCCTCAAGCCATCATGGCAACGCCAAAATATTACTTGCTTTGACCAAACATCCCATCTGTAACTAGCAAATAATTTCAATACAAGTAGGCAACACTGAGCCCATCCACATGATCACATCTTGACTTTTCTCTGCTGTGAATAGTAACAGCGCTTAAAGCTAAGGAGATATTTCCACAAGAGCAAGGAAACAGAGCGTCAGATGGGCCTCTCCTGCAAGCCTGTCATTATCCTCCTCAGAGAAGGAACATCTCATGGCCAGAACACAGGCAACTGAAAGGCCAAAGTAAAGTTAAACACGGCTATTTATGTTCTTTGCCATGCCCCAGGGCATCTTTCTGCCTGGTTGCCTTTTCAATTAAGGTCTTTCAATTGCATGTTGTGGGCAAGCAGTAACGTACCTTTCGGAAAGACAGCACGCTTTGTCATTAAGGGGGTTGTCACGTGCCTGCTTGAAAAACAATCTACATTCTTCTCTACCGTTGAGAAACATGTTACTTACCCCCCTAGACCACACATCATACCTCTCCTCCCTGCAGGCAGGATTCACCTGAGTAAACAGTGGTGCACACACGTACATCTGGGTCTAGTTTTTAGGAGTACTGAAAAAAGCATCATCTCTAGGTGCTGCTGGTCTTTCTAGATTAAATGGCTAAAATCAGGAATCCAGAGTCCCTCAATTCCTCCAAAAGTAGAGGGGAAAAGTCCTACATTGCGACTCTTAATGTTAGTCTGGATCAGATTTAAGTCATCTTCGCCCATCTAGTAAAAGTTCATCAATGAGCAATATGGCTTTGCTGCGTTTCTGGGCCTTCCCCAAAGAGCCCGGTACAGGGATCACTCGCTCCCAAACATCCCTGGTTTTGATTTTGCGGGGGGAAAGGACTGACTGATATTTACAAAGCCTAACTAAGCCTATTTTCCCCATTCGGCTTTCCGCAGGCCCAGTGGCTCTGCTAAAATAGCCATCCTCACAATACCCCGCTCTTCTGCTTTTGATCTCAGCTGGAGCCAGGAAACACTAGGGAAGCCACAGACGAGGAGGGGGTGAGGGGGGAAGGAAGACGGAGCAAAAAAAGTTAATTGAACTTTTTTGAACCACAGAAAATGGTCACAGGATGATCTCATTTTATGGCTCTGTAATCTGCGTGCCAGTCCCTCAATCATCTTTAAGGGCTGAAATACATCATTTGTGCTCGGTATTGGCAAAGAAGGGATCAGATCATGGAGCAGTGGGAGAAGGAGATCTTTCATACATACAGGGTTGCAGAAACATCAGGCATCCAAGCACCATCCAAGAGTCACTCCATCCATCTGCAGAGCTCCTTCTGACATTGCCGGTGGTCTCCAAGCAGGGAGACTTCATTCTGGCCTGCAAAACCAAGAATTAGTATAGATGTGCTTCCTATATGGACAAGGCGGCTTTAAAAACTCCTCCTTCCATTAGCTGTCTTCTAGGTGCCTCTTGCTGAACACTGCTTTTATGCATTAAATTCACATTTAATCTTACACCAGCACATACCCAGTTGTGAGATGCTGTGTAAAAAAGCTCTCAATTAACATCCATTATCAATACCTGCTAGGTCAGAGGTGATAGGACACACTTTGGATAGATGGATTTTGAATGCCAGAGAATTACGGATGGTTGCCATGTGCCAGCTGCCATCAAAACCAGGACTATCACTAATGCAGAAGCAAAAGGTGCAAGAGAAACAGGTATCTTTTTAGAAGGAAGAGGTGAAACACTCAGAGAATCCACAGTGACCTTAGCAGGGGGGCAGAGGAGAACAACTGCTCCTGTAAGCAGCTAGGACAGCAACACATGCAAGGTAGAGGAACCTCCCCAAATCGCACCCAGCTTAATGAGCTACAGATCTAAACCAACCTCGTCAACTTTGTATCTAGAAGACATTAGATTATGATCTTGCATATTGGTGCTGAGTGTTGAATTAATTCCCCCTCCACATTTAAGGACAAAGCACAGTGTCCCTATCACACAGCTGCACTTGCTTAGGGCTTCCTTCAACTTGCATGATGTAGAATAAAGCCTCTCCTACGGGAATCCAGCTGTGCATCTTTTACTGCTGTTCACTGCTTAATTCCTCTGCCTCATTCCCCCCCCAAACACAACCCCTTGCCACCGAGAAAACAAAGAAAAAAGGAAAAACAACAGGTCTTACAAGGCAGAGCAGCAGTGGCATGAAAAATGGAAGTGATCGTCATTGATTTTTCACAGTTGTTACTCAAAGGCCAGGATTACAAGTTCACAGGGAGGCCACTGGCACTAACCCCAGTCTGCAGCTAACGCATTCCATCCAGAAACTCCCTCACAAAAGCCACGCAGCTCCTACGAGCCGCAGGGAGAAGCTGAAGCTACCCCAGCAGATAATGGGAAAAATGTGCTGAAAATGCAATGCACCTGTCTGATTATGCCAGGGCATCGCTGAAAGGGAAGGGAGGCAAAATGCAGGGATGCAGAACCACTTACTGGATCAAACCCTCGCATCGCAGAAAGCTCCCTGACCTGGGTATCAGCAGCCTTTCGGGAAAGAATTCGGGTCATTTCTGTCACGATTACCTCCCCATCAAGAGTAAAGAGACACTGCTGCTTCAGCTCTTCCTGCATTCCAGGAGAAAGCATTTTCCCCCTTCCCCCACCACCGGACAGGGCTGAAAGTTTAGATTTTGATTGCACTCGTGACCCAAAACCGTGCATGCTTTGCATCAGGGTTCTCAAACATTTGCAAGAGGAGACCAAAAAGGAAGAATAAGAGTAAAAATATCTAGCAACCTGGTTTGGAAAGCTGCAGAGAAACACATTTCCACCAGCAATTTGCAACAACTCTCTGCTTTAAAAATCAGAGACTGATTAGACCTACTATATGACCTCTATCTTGCACCTAACGTAGATTCTCTCCCTCAACTGCATTGTCCATTGTAATATTAAAAACCTGTAGCCAGGGTGGCTTTCTCTCCCCCTCGAGGAGGACTCCAAGCCAAACAGATTTCACTGATGTCCTAAATGATCATCTCTGTCTCATCTTATTACCCCATCATTATAATCTCATTAGACCACGTTAAGTAATACATAACCCTCCACTGTGTTGACATCTTCACTCCTGGTAAACTATTATCATGTCCCGGCTTTAGCTGGAACCTCCTCCGCAGCTGACATTAATCACGGGCCCCAGAACAGATGATCCTGGGCAGGATGATGCACTTTAAATCCTTCCTCTTAAAACAGATCTCACCAGCTCTTCAGTTATCACCACTTCTCAACTCCCTCCACGTGCTTCTGGGCACACGTTGCATAGAGGTACCTGCACCAAGCACAATTTGTTAAAAGATTCACCCCTTTTTTTCACACCAAGGTAGCTTCCACATGTCAAACCTCTCCCACGGGTGGCAGAACCTCCCCAGGAGGTCAAGGACCAGATGCAACATCGTTTCTCCAAACAGGTCCCAGCTCCCATCACGTTGCTCAACTGAAAGAGAGAGCACACCAGCATTTAAAGCAGCTTGTGAGGGACAGTATTTAACAAAACGGGACTTTTCTGCTCATCTTGTCCCTGCTTCCTTGGCTTATCTGCAGTTCTCATGGCTTTGTTGCAAGACCCGCTTACACAGAGTAGAAGGCATAAGGAACAAGATCACTGACAAGAATAACATGTATTAAATTATGAGAGCATAAAAAGTCATATTGTCCTCATCCTACAAGCAATTTTGGACCTACTGACAAGCTGTGCAGGAGCACCTGTGGTTGTGTGTGGGTACACCATGCTAGACCACTAGCAGAGTCTGTGAGCACCAGCTACAACATTTTTTAATAGAGATTCATGGTATGGGCTGGGTTCTCAATAGAGAACTGGTACGGGCTGAAATACTCATTTCACTCTGCTGGATGGCTGCAGACAGAAGGTTTTCACTCTGGCGGCTAAAAGTACAAACACACACCTCAAGCTGGCCTAAAATGCTGTGCTTTTTCCAAATTACTTCCTCCCATCCCCTTTTCCACCCCCTCCACATGAAAAAGCCACTTTGGCTTTAATAATGGTCAACTCTTTGACGGTTTTTTCCCCCCTTCCCATCTTCAGTTTTCATCAAAACAACCCTACTGCTCCAAGCACTGTATTTCAGGATGACTTTAACTCACCAGAAATACTACCAGTGCCGTTCTTCAAGTTGCGGTTTTTAGGTAACCTTGAAAATATTTAAAAATGCAATTATTATAATTTAGAGTTCCCTCAAACACCCCCCAGACGGCAATTCCTGGAGAGAAACAATGCTCTTTTACCTCGTGCCTACCATTCCCCAGGCACCCACAGCGTGCCTCAGAGCACAGCGTACTACAGAGCACAAATCAGGATATTTAGCAGATTTCTGGACTACGAGACTCATTAAACCTGCACAACTGTATCATATTAATTACAAAGAACATCACATACTGTCTATTAGACATCCTAGCTGCATGTGCAAGCTGCCTGTCTTCATAAAAGTAAGAATAAAAGCTAACTTATTAGCAAACTTATGCCCGAGGAAGGCTTTTACACGCTTTTCTGATGAAAAACAAGCAATACCATCAGCTCAGCAATCTCCCACCTACGGGAATTGTAATGAGGAAGCAATTATGCCCCCCGCAAACATTTCTAGTGCTATCTCAGAAAGGAATTTGCTCCTGAACTAACATTACATCAGGGATAAAAGTATTGAGTAAGAGAAAATACAAAAGCAACATGCCTAGGGATGACAAGGTTGTAGTGGGAAAAAATGTATTTTTATTTTCCTGGCACTCTGCACTCAAATTATAGGAGTGTCCATAAGCCTTTTAATACCTCGTATTTGTGGCTAAGGCAGCAGGTCCCATTTCCTTCTCGCAGGCAGCTCCTTTGTGCATGGGCCATTCAACTGGCCTTTTAACACAGCCAAAGAGGAACACGAAATTCATACTGATTGGGCTAGAAAAGGACCTCAAGAGGCTCATGGCCACCCCAAATTAAGGAAAAAAATGCCTAAACTCATGCCAATACCAAGATACCTTAGGATTTATGCCCCAAAGGGCTCTGCTGAGCTTGCTCCAGGAGAGCCTGGCAGACGGGGAACGAACCTGGGTCACGTCAAGCCCCAGTCAGCTGCCCCAACTGGCTTCGCTTTCCAAGGGCTGCGATTCCAGGAACCAGGAAAGTAGGTCACATTCAGCGAGCGCATTCCTGGACAGCCTTGAGTCCCGGCACACGCTCGGGGTCACAGCCGATAACAGGAGAACTAAAAAAAAAAAAATCAGTCCTTGGGTGTAAAAACAAGCAATTAGGACAAGGAGGAAGACGACATACCCTTTATATACATATATAAATATATATATACACACACATATTTCACATATAGCATTAGTAAAATGCTATATACAACAAAAGAGACTGTCGTATTGTGGTGTCCACATTTCAGGGAGGACATTCGAAAAGGGAAACTTGGCAGGGGTTCAGGAAAGAGCTATAAGAATGGGCTGAGGTCTGGGAAAGCTGCCATGAGGACCTCAAGCTAATAGCTTATCCAGGAGAAGGTTAAGAGGCAACTTGAGCTCAGCCCACAAGTACCTACACAGGGAAGGGATTTTTTGATAGCAGACAGCTCTTTAATCAGCCAGCTGATGTGCTGAGTGAAAGCCAAGAGTCAGAAGCCAAAAGGAGGCAAATTCAGGCATGAAACAAACCAAAAAAAAAACAACAAATATAAGTTTTCTGGCAAAGTGAGGAATTAACTGCCAAACAGCACACCTTGAGGCACACTGGGCTTCTGGTCCCCTGGAGCTTTACATCAATTATCTTCTGGCTGGGATTCACATCTCTAATCGTGTGAAAGAAGCCTGAGTGACTGGCCAAACAGTCCCTCAAGATGGGCATCTCCTGGTGGCATTTTGCTCTCCTGGTCTTGGGGGTGTCTGTCAGCATCTCCCACCACCACACAGAAGCTGCAGTAGTTTCAGATGTTACTGGTCCCATGGGATGTGACAGTCAGGTCCTTAATGTCCACAAGGAGTTATTCCTCCGCTGCTCCCATCCCAAATTTCTCAAGCAACTGGTTTGTGGGTCAAGAGCATGTTCACGTGCTCAGAAGCCACAGAAGTTCCCAACTTGGTGCTATTGTGCCTTGGAAAAGGCACCACAGAAGAGCTGGAGAAGCACTTCCTAGCTATCCTCCAACATGCACGCAAGCTCCTTCCTTCCCTCTAAGAGTGCAAAGTCAACCTGGAAAACCCAAATCCCTGCTGCCAGCTCTTAGAATTCCCGCATGGCTTATTGTCCAAGCTGCATTTACGGGAAAACTCAAGCCATGGTAGCATCCAGCTCCTTGAGGACCTGCAAGCACGCTCCAAGCGATTAGGGGAGAGCAGGACTCACAGCAGCTTGGATCATTTCCAAGCAAGGGCTGAAGCTTGGATGCTACCAGCAGCTTTAAGGACAAATATAGGCATCCCCCGAGTCAAACCAGCATTTGTCCATGGAAGCCAAGCACTTTGCACGGAGGCTGCGAAGTCCATTCTTTAATTAGCGCTTGCAAGACACTTAAACCCTGCAGCGCCGAGGGCTGCAACAGCAGACAGATGAGCACTTGGAAGTGTCAGAAAATGGTATCCAGAGAGCAAAATACTGCCTATTTTTTGCTGCGCTTCCGGCTTTGCAAATTTATCCAGAGCAAGACACTCTCTGCAGGCAGTTTCATTTGCAACAGCTTAGGGTTGTTACGAACCAAAAAATGCAGAGAGACCATAAACTTGACTCCCTTTCATCTCCCTCACCCCAAATAAATCCCGGCCTTTATGGTTAGTAGCCAGTGAGCTATTAGGAGACAGCAGATTTTCCAGGGTAGGTTTCTGAAACGCAGCAGCAGACAGAGCTATTGTTGCTTGGGGACTCCTTGGAGGTATTTTAGTTTTTTCTTTTTTTTCCCCCCCTCTTAAACACAGTTTCCATAGAAAACTCAAGCTGTGATGATGTGTATGCTTTTTTTTTTAAAAAAAGCAAGCAAAAATCTCTTCTTTTTAATAGATTTCCAGTCTGGTAGCTGTTCAAAGCTGCCTCCAATTTTTTTTTTTTAAATGTAATAATTTTAAGACAACCTAAGTTCACTGCTCACTTGAACCTACCTTATTCTCAGCAGTTGTATCTCTACTGCTGGACGTGGTAACGGTTCCCTCCTTTGCAGCAGCAAAGGGGCAGAGGTTGTTTCTTACATAGGCTAGCTTAAGTTTTAGGTTCAAACATGTCTCATGGGTTTCTGGAGGAACGAGCCAGACCTAATCAAATTTGGAGGATTCAGGGTGTTTTACAAAGGGTTTTAATCTTGCCACATGTCTCTTTATCTAGCAATTTCACAAGTCCATCAGAAAACACACCTGACTTAGCTTAGTGCATGGAGGAAATAGCAGGTAAGAAGGGGGGTTAAGCTGTTCCTCAGGCCCATGCACAAATCCAAATGGACTTGGGAAACTCTTGTATTGCTTAGAACTAAGACATGACCTTAATCCAGCTGAGAATCTTAATAACCTCACCAAGGAGCTTGTTTTCGGCATGCCCTTCTCAGGGCAAAGCCCAGCTCACAACAGTGACTCAAGTGACCTTTTCAGGTGCTGGAGTCAGTTCTACCTCCTGTCATGAATTAAAAAACGCTGTCTCACAGCACTGGATTAAGCACCAGCACCTTGCGAAGCAGCCTTTGGTTTGGTCATGATACCACTGGCACTGAGCAGAGCCGGGCAGGACTGTTGCTTTCTGCAAATCTCCAATTTCTCAGTTTTCAGGCAGATGGGAACTACTGGAAAAGAGATTTGTTTCAGATCAGACCCAAACAGAGATATTTAAAAATTTCCAGCAAACCGAAAAGTCATAAAAGTGTCACTGTGAGGTTGAGCACAGCCCATCACCAGGCTCAAAATGAAATAGCTTGTTTCCTCCTTGAGCTTATTAAAAGCTTTTATTAAAAATAAAAATGAGCATAAATTGAGACAGAACTTCACTCCTAATCCAAAATTAAAACTTTTTGCGCTGAAAAGATTGAAGCGAGCCATTTTGATACTCCTCCCCGCCACCACCACCAGTGTTATTTAAAGGGCTGGCTATTTCCACCAGGACAATTTGTCCAAAATCAACACAAATTCCAGAAATTCTTCCTTTGAACCCACTGTGGATTCTTCAGTGAAAAACAAAGCTGTGGCTGAAGAGCCCTGCTTGGACCCAGCTGGGAAGCAGCTCGTAATGAAGGTTGCTGCCACAGGCATGCCAGAAAGAGGTGCCACCCACATGAATGTCCACAACCTGGGTCAAACAGGCACCCAAACCAACGTGACCTTCTCGGGGCGCAAGGCTGGGTCTGCATATCAGGCCACCAACTGCCCAAAGCAGTTGTGGTAACTCCTCAAGCATTTTGCAAGCAGAAGTATGGGCACAGGAGCCTCTAAACACCACAAGCCTGTTGGTTATTCAACTTTTTTCTTGTTATTTCACCGTTTGCCCTGTCAATGTTTCCTTATGAACCAGGAGAGGCCTTTCCATTTGAGCTCTGAGCTTTGTTAAGACCTCTACAAAAAGCAAGCACCAGCACAGCAAGCTTGTTTTACTAGTCTAGGTTTTTCCAAGAAAAGCCAAACAAGTTTAACTGAAAAAAAATCCCACGTGCCTACTCTTCCAGACAAATTTGCAGCCTAGGTCTGCAGGCTCCCAACACTTTATAAGTAGTAAAAAGAGTAAAAGGGGGTCTGCAAGTTAGAGAGAAGGCTAAAAGCACCAGTCTTGATGAGAGCGCAGGGAAGAAGGGAAATGATCTCTTAGCTGATGGCCTCAAGTCTGGAAACTTGTTTCCAACCACCATATCTCAATAGTTAAACATATTGTGCAGTATATTGTCTATTTTTACATTTTTGTAAAATGTCCATATTTACATTTCCAGGGGGACACGATGCTGATGACCTGGAGAGGTACTCCGGGAGCTGCAGGAACATCTCATGCTCCTGCTTAAAACACATGGACTGGTTCATTGAGTATGCGGGCAAGCTGTTGCATTTTTATAGTGTTCCCTCAATATAAGGTAAGGCCGAGTCTATCCCGTGTCCCTGAACTGCAGTCACAGGGAACAAGGGAAACGCTCCCAACCCCCCCCAGGAAACTCGAGCAAGGCCCAAGTAACAGCACTCGTGCTCTGAAGTCACATCGGGACATTTTCACATTTCTCCCTCTGCCTAGGGGACAGACTAAAAACCTCTTACAAAGCCAGGCCTGGAGCAAGATGCTAAATCTAAGAACACCATTTTTTTGTTGTTGTTGTTCCTTGAAACAAATCCTTTGCAGCAGGATATTGTGCAATCCAGACAGAGGCCACTGCTCAAGTGAAATGCCCCGAGCACGGAGGCGAGCGCTTACAGCAGAACGCCCGAGCCGCGCCGTGCATTCGCATGCACTGTCTATACACACACTTCTGACCGTGTTCAAACCGCTCCGATTCCCTGCCAGCGGCTGTAAATTGTACCTGGAGAAGGGGGATCAAGTCCAGGCCTCATTAGGTTTTTATATTCTCTCTGATTGCTTTTGCAGGCCTCCAAGCCTGTCTCCGAGGGAGCCCAGGGTTCAAAGATCAAATAAATTGTCTGGCAGATTTATCAGGTCTCAGGGTAGGTAGCCATGTAGTAAACTTCCTCTGCTTTCCTCCCTTCCCCCCGATCCACCAGCAGAAAGAGAGGGACACTGAAGCAGAAGAGAGCCTCAAGCTGCCCACGTGCAACGTGCAACCCCAAGCGCAGAGAAGGGGGGGATGAAGAGCCCAATATCTTCTGTTCACACAAGCTCATCAGAAGCAGTTGCAGCACGAGGAGATGCAGGCAACAGCAGGACAGCCAAGCAAGCCAGAAGTCAAAATGTTTGACCAAGCATCACCAAGGGAAAAGGTTTAGGCATTTGCAAGGTCACATTTTGCAAAGCCACATTTTCCTTTCTTTCCTCCGAACAGGCACCCCCAGGGTTCCTGCAGAGGTACCAGCCCGCCCGGTGCCTGCAGGCACCTCTGATCCCCACAGCTCCTCAGCTCGAGCACAGGACAAGCTTTACCCTCCTCGTGCACCTTCCCATCCCGGTGTGCAGCCGACCAGGGGAAACGCAGGAAAAACGCTCACCCACCTCCAAAGGACCACGGAAACGCCGGGCTTCACCAACACTCGTCTCCCTCGTTCCTCTTCAGCAGCTTTCTTGGGCAGAAACATTCTTCTGCTCACACAGCATCTGCTGCAGAGCTGACCTGACAAAAACAGGAAAGTCCCTTGTGTTTTTTGAGGAGTCCTCCTAAAGATAATTAAAAAAAAAAAAAGAAACACTGAAACAAAAGCCTTCAGCCCAGACACTTTCATTTCTAGGGGATTAAGGATCTTCAAGTCCTACCTTCCAAGGACCTCATTTGAGTGGAAAATCTGCCTCAAGGGTTCAGGGCAGCGCAGACCATGCAGCACTTCTTGGCGGGGGCTAGCTGAGATGTGCACAGGCCTGGTAGCTCCCCAGTACCCCCCGTCACATCACCAGCCTCATAGCAAGCTTTCCTGCATCCTTATCTCACCCATGCACTTTCCTCCCTTCGCTGTCACCCCAGATAAACCAGCCAGACAGAGGAGAGAGCGGGATGAACAACCTGCCTGTCTGGGCTCCTCCCTGGGGGCCTGCAGCAGCTGCTGATGGGGGTGTCCACACAAACCCCATCCCAGCAAGGCTCCAAACGCAGCCGCAGGGTCTCCGACAAGGCTCTGAAGGCCCTGGTTGCAGATCTAAAGCAATACCCCCTTCACCACCTCTGCTTAGGTCATCTGTTTGACTAAGGGAGATCTCAGGGGCAAGGAAGCCGTCTCCTCCCCACATCTACCCTGATGAAGAGTGTCTTCAGCCAGCAAGCCAGGAGCCAACACCAGCCGTCTGATCCCCGTTGAGCAGAAAACACACCCATTTGTACCTTTTTGTCTTTACAAAGGAGGAAATGCTCCCCCTTCTCGGGCTGATGAGCAGGACAAAGGAAAATCTGCAGGTGGGACAGAGGAGCCATGAGTGGTGGGGACAAAGAGTCAGGTGACCGTAGTGAGAGCACATGGAGAAGGTGGGGGTTGGACATAGGCGGCCAGGAAGGCTGCAGCTTCTGGGCACTTGGCCAGTGGGGACAGGAGAGGGCCACCTCGGCCGGGAAATTGGGATGAGAGGGGGCTGCGGCCTCCAGCAACTTGAGAGCCCACAGGGATGTGCTTAGCAGAGTCTCCCTTTGTTGAAATGAAGTTTTAGGTCTCTTCTGTCTCCTTTTTGGACAGTCAGTTCTTGACAGCAAGACTTTCCACACACAATCCCGCAGCAGCTCCACGGGATGAGCATTGCCCTGCAGCATCACACAGGGAGCAGATGTCAGGAGACATGGACTTTGCTCAGGGAAGGAAGCAGCCCCCACAGTTAACAGCAAGAGGAATGGGCTCAGCTCACAGGCCCAGCAGTGCTCTTCCCTGTCACCTCCTTGTGACCGACCAAGGACACAGTCTCCAGTTATCACTGAGGAGCAGGAAGGAGGCAAATGCACTGGGCCAAGCACTGACAGAGATGGACATATTCTCGCACTGGCAGCAGAAGCCTTGAGGGACAAAACAGCATCTCAGGCACTTTATTTGGGCACCGAGATGGCTCCATACTACAGGACTCTCAAACCAGATGGTCAGGAGACCTTTGAGTGGGCAATCCAGGAGACCAGCCAGGGAAGAAGAGCTCTCAGAGAAACCGAGTCAGGAGCAGAAACTAAGCAGAGACCAGGCAGGCCCAGCTGCCCAAGCTGTGTCCCAGAAGAGGGACTTCACCTGGGAGGGGACAGAGAACAGATCATTTCAGCATTAACAGAATTTCCTAGATCTTGATGGCATTGAGAAGCCATTGCTAATCAACTTTCTGCAAAGCAGAAAACTCCTCCAGTGAAAACTTGCAGTCTCATTCTTTATTCCTTACACTTCCCTTTATGGTTTTTCCAGAGTAAGGGACTCAAGGGGCCACCAAGTTCCCACAACCATTTGCCCACTGCTAAGGCAAGCTGGAGGGCAGCCCATTGAAAATGCAAACTCCCCAAACCCCACTGCTGAACGCTCAAAGTTGCAAGTGACAACCCAAGAATCGCGTTTGTCCCAAGTCGTGACACCTACATGACAGATATCACATCTGCATGGTGGCTGGTAGAGCTATCCTGGAAAGCCCATAAACCCCAAAGGATGACTTGGTACCTAGCAAGCACAGCCTGAAGACAAGCAGAATCCTCAAAGAACTGTTGTCTTCACATCCAGAAGACAAGCAGAGACCTCAAAGAACTGTTGTCTCCTTCTCAGCATTTTCTCCTGCCTGACGTTGCTGCTGCAAAGCCCGGAGCCATACCTTGGGTTCCAGCATCCATTTGGATCAGCACTTTGCAACTGAAGAGTCCCCTGGAAAGCCAGCAGGGTCACCCCAAAACCACCAGGCCATGGACTCAGTGCCAATTTTGGCCTCAGAAATGCATAAAGGAGAGCTCGACAGTCGGTCGGAGCCAGCTGGACTAAGTTCTTGCCTTATGCTAAGCTCTCCGATGGTAACGCTGAGCCCAGTTAATCAACTGTAGCGTTCCACCCCGGAGTTGGCTGCACTTAAGGGAAGAGGGAAATGATTGCTATATATAGGCTGGTAAGTGTTCTGGGAATGAAAGATGCTTTATAAAAAAGTCCTCCTCAACATACAGCATCAGCTGGGCTTTTCAGGAAGGGTTTTTCCCCCCCCTCCTTCAAATGATTTTTCCATGCACCAGCTGATCTGGAGTTATCTAAATGAATTTCCACAGGCATAAAGCTTAATCTGCTCTGGTTGCAGACTTCCATATATTTTTAATATGTCAAGCAGTGGAAATTTCTCAGACTGAGTCAAGGGAGTTGTGAGGTTTACTGCTCTGGAAGATCAGAAATAGCTTATCCATCTAACAGACTTACACATAATAGAAATGTGTAAAGAGCACTTGAGATGTTTAAAACAAGCAGGAGATGTAGGTTAGGCAATCACACCTAGATGGAGCTTCAGAACAGAATCCATGCAAAAGCTAGAATTATTTTCTATTACAATATATATAAATTACAATATATACACACACAAATGTAAACAATGTTTTCTGTTTATCTTTTGGGAGAGGAGGTACTTCACACACACGCACCCCGGCCAGGAAAGGTATTATTTGGAATAAATAGGCAAGGGTTTTTTTTTCAAAACATACCTGTTTTTGTCAAAACAGAAAGCAAGTCCTCAAGTCAGGACTTTGTTTCCCAGGAAAGTGGGCTACATTTCAGTTTCTTTTTACACTTTACAGGTATGCTCCCCTAATTTTCTCAAAATACCACTTGCATTAAGTGTACAGTACTCAGATATGACAGAGCAGTGCCCACTGCCTGAAAAAACTCTGGGACACTTGGACCTGGCAGAATAAGCCAAGTATCAGCAAACCAAAAACACTTGGACAGGGGCTGCTCTCAGATACCTTTTTCCATCCATAAGTCAGGGATGTCCTGTGTAAGGCTCAGGATTCCCCCAGCCATCATCACCACACTGAGACCTTCCAAATATCACCACCAATTCAGGGCACAGAGAGAACATGAGGCACCATCTCAACAAGCCTTTATATCATTATGGCTTAGCTTATAAGACAGTAGAGTTCATCCTGCCACATTTTATGGGTGCAGAAGATTGGGGTGCCAAAGCAATTCAAACAAACAGCACTGCGGTCATTCCACAAGATCAATCTAGTCTGCACAGGCATTGTGAGGCACTTGTACCTCTTTTCTGTCGTGTCTGCTAATCCACTTCCTTGGGGACCTCAACCATTACACCAAGGCCCTGTGCAACTTGCAAGAGTTCCTCCATGGAGGGACACCATCCATTTAGGAGAGATCACAGAAGATCACATTTAGGAGAGATAACCAAGACTGGTTAATTATAGGCCTCTGCTGTGTAGATTCTCTGGTGTCTAAAGGTTACCTTCCCCCTCTCTAGAGGAGAATAAATCTTTTCTTTTCCTCACAGTCCTCACAGAGCATTGGGAACACCTTGCCTAACCATCACCACCTAGAGTAAAGCTGTCTGCACTTGATGTTGGAGATCTGTCCTTTTCAAAGAAAAAATATTCAATGGAAAAAAAAATCTCTGAAGTGAGATTCATCTCATGATGAATGAATCCCACCCTAAAGCCTCTGGGACTTTTTCTTTATGAAGTCTCAGTGAAATTAGCTATCTGGGCCCAAAATGATCAGGAAGGGTGACAAAGACACTGTTATTGCATTTGCTTCTTTGGTCAAGAATACCAGACTAAAAAAAAACTAGTCCAGAAAATAGAAGGGTGGAGTTTCTCTCTTCCACTGCTTAAGCCAATTTCAACACATAGAAATCCCACCCAAGCTCTTTCGCTTGCACAGAAAGCTTGCAGTAAGCCTGCTGCCTCTCCAGCAAGGGAAGTAGGTGGAAAAATTACATCAGTTCCCCTGATCTCCTGCTTTTTTTTTTTTTTAAACAAACATTTAAAAAGCAGAAGGAGCAGCCAGCATCATGATTAGAGGCTGTTAGCAGAGAGATGACAGTGGGGAAACCCCATCCAGGCACTTCACTCCACCCACCATAACCAGAGTTACTGTCCTGAGGAGCATCCTCAGTCTTCCAGGTCCATCTTATGCCTTCTGCTCCAGCAGCCTCATGCAACACAAGCTCCACTGCTCAGTGGGGACACTTCTGCTCTTCGTTCTCTGCTTACAAAGCTGTCTAAGCCAGTCTGCTTGGTCTGAGAAGTTTCCCCCACCAGCCTAGCCTGTGACTCCCATCCTTGCAGTCCGCACAGGAGCATTCTTAGGGAACCACACAGGAGGAGAAGACATGGTCACCACACACTGAAGTCGTTCCCCTGCCCACTTTGGGACATTCAGCATGTTGGCATTTCCAAGTCAGAGCTAGATTCACCAAGAGAGCTGCCAGCAGCCAGACACCTGCCCTAGACAGGCAGCTCTTGCCCACCTTGCAAGCACAGAGGTATGAAGGTGTTGCACACAGGCCAAAAAAATAGAGCCTCTTGTGAAATCCAAGACCAAATTCAGCTCAAGCAATGAGGTTTTCCTCCACAGCTTCCCTGAAGACATTAAGAGCATCAGACTCATCAGGACACTCTCCAAGCAACATTTCCTCCTACAAGACTTGACCTTGTTTCCCTCCTCATC